ATTGACCGCGTCCGCGGAGAGACTTCTGGTGATTACCAGCGATTGATGGTTGCCCTTCTTGAGTAGAAGGCCTTTTCTTTTCTTTTTCTTTCCTTTTTTTATTCCTGTACATTTATGACCTTTTCCTTTGTTCATGATGGTTATATTTATTCTGAGATACCATGATCTGACATGAGGAATGTGTTACGCGAGACAGATAGTGATGTGCTACATACAGTACGAGAAGTTAAATATATTATATTCTCCTTTGGCCATCTTCGGAACCATTGTATTTGCGTAAATTAGATTAATGGTCTAGAGACCCAGATATTTACAAGTTAATAGTCCACTTCGTCCGCAGCCTTTCTCCCCAAGTTTGGAACAAAATCGGTATAGGCGCCATTGCCAAAGCAAGGAATGCCAGCAAACTATTTCCCCACCCGAGGCCAAGTTTCTCGTACATTTGCAATCCACATAAAGGAAGAAGAGCCCCAAGCAAGCTTCGCAGAACAGTGCAAGCAGCCACAGCACTTGCAGCATGCGCAAGGAAAGCATCTACCAGATATGTCTGAACACACATCAATATAACGATCATCCCGAAACCAGTAGCAGCATTCCCAATCTCGGGAACGATCCAATGGACCACTTTATCCGTCGACCATCCATAGATAAAGAGACCTGCTGGGATGGCTAATGACCCAGGTATGGTAAGGTACAAGGGAAGTCGGTCCTCGGGGATAGGTGTCTCCTTGCGCGCGAGTTTGATTTTGATTTTGCGATCACTCAACGTGCCCACGTAGGCAAGACCAAGTAACATTCCCACTCCGCTTCCCAGGAATGAGAGGCCGCTGGCGCTGGCAGAGAAACCATACTGACCCTCAAAGACAAGTGTGAATGTTGTGAAGAGGATGTAGAGGAAGCCGTAAAGAACGGCAATATAGCTGGACATTAATGCCACTATTGGGGACAGAATGAGCATTTTAGATGGACGAATGAGACTCCGTAGGAAGAGCTGTTTTGGGGGGACTCCGGTGTCCAAACGAGATTTATATGCCGTATCTCCTGTTGACTTTTGCAGTCGAGCAGCTTTCCGCTCAAGGAGGATTGGGGCATATGTCTCAGGCACGGCGAAAAAGAAGATGATCGATGCGACTCCACCCTGAAAAAATAGTTAGAAATGAGATAGACCCCTTTAACCTGATATTGTCTTTCTTACCGTAATGGAAAGAACCCAAAACACCCATCGCCAATTTGTCGCCTCGACGAGGAACCCACCCACGACGGGGCCAATGATTGGACCGAACAGGGGTCCCAGAGACCAAATAGCCATCGCTTGGCCTCGTTTCTCTCTCGGCACAAGATCTGCAATGGTACCACTACCACATGTGATGGCAGCGACACCCGCAAACCCGTCGAGGAATCGGAAAACCACCAAGGACGCCATATTGGGAGCAACCGCACTGGCGATATTGAATATCACGAACAGCACATTGCAAACATTGTAGACCCATGTGCGGCCGCTATACTCGCTGACCGGTGCGACAACCAGAGGGCCGAAGGCGAATCCTAGCACGTAAACCGAGACGACGAAAGACGAGAGGAGATTAGATGTTGTACCGAAGTCTTCGAGGACTTGTGTGATACCCGGCGCGAACATCGAAGAGGCGAGGGGACTAGCGTTGTCAGTATTTTGGTCTATACCAGAAGTATAAGTACTCACGTCAAAAAAGTGATGAAAGAAACCATCCCAATAATAGTCCATTTGCGTCCAGAACTCCAGTTCATCGGATTCTCTGGGTCCTCGCTGGCTGGCTCTTCCCAGAAGACATCATATTCGGACATATCCGCCGTGTGTTCGTTAGATTTCTCAGTTGTCAATGCGATAGATTGCGCTTCAGGATCTAGTGGTTTTGTGTCCATGTCGAGTGCACTGTGAAGACAAAGCCAGACAGATGGGCTCTTGGGCGTGCGCTGGCGGGCTTTTGAATGATTTCAAGTCTGTCATATGCAAGAGATGCATAATTGCCACGGGACTTTCCATATCCGTTCGCCTATCAAAGGGTGCATATACTAAATTAAATCCCCACGTTTTAGCCCGAGAGACTTCGGATTCGTACATCTCGTGGGGTCCATTGGCTGACGTCGGACGATCTAAACTCGGGTTCGGGTTCGGGTTCGGATTCGTATGAGGGTTTGACGTGGTGGCTGATGGGATTCGGGTTCTCATTGGCGCTAGGATGAACCAATTAAGCTTGGTCGTTGTGCTTGAAGATGGCATTATTATAGGAGTATCATTATCTACGATCAGCGTATCCACGATCAACGCGTCCCCGATCAACATGACGACCTACCTCGGTGGGTCAAGACCTGCACATATAAGAGTCAAGACCCCCATGTCGCATCGGACTCTGAAATAACCTATTAGTGAATATGAGACAGAATGGGAATCATTTTCAACGTGCAACAGGTGCTGTTAACGGGGCTCTTTACGGTATGTCATACGATGCCTTTTGACTTCTTTTCTAATGCGTTTAGGCTATACTATATCTTGCCTCTAAAGTGATCTACAATGTGTATTTTCACCCTTTGAGCCGGTTTCCGGGGCCGTTGGAACACAAAATATCACGACTACCATACGTCTACCGGTCTATTCGGGGAACCCTTCCCTTTGACATGCTCGAGATGCATCAGCAATATGGTAACATTGTCCGTATTGCTCCGGATGAGCTGGCCTTCTCCCACCCCGATGCCTGGCAAGATATTATGGGCCACCATAAAGGGAAAACTGAATTCTCAAAGGCAGATTGGTTCTACCGTGCGGTTGAAGACCAACCGTCACATGTAGTCAACGAAAGCAGAGAGCAACATGGACGTCTCCGCCGACAAATGGCTCACGGTTTCTCTGAAAAGGCAATGCGAGAGCAGGAACCAATGATTCGTGGTTATGCTGATATGTTGCTTTACCGATTACATGAGTTTTGCGAGTCTGGTAGTCCGGTGATTCTTTCTGATTGGTATAACTATACCACTTTCGATATCATTGGAGATCTGGCATTTGGTGAACCATTTGGCTGTCTTCAGGGATCAAACCTTGACGGATGGATCAAGGGGATTTTCGACGCCGGCCGGCTTGGAATTATCCTGCAAGCTCTCTCTTTCTATCCACTTGTGAAGCGGACGCTACTATCGATGGTGCCTGCTTCAATGCAAGAGGCCCACGAGAAACATAAGCAACTCACCGAACAGAAGATGATGCGTCGGATTGAAAAGGAAGAGGGTCGACCCGACTTGATTGAGGGACTTCTGAGAAAGAGAGAGGAATTGGTGAGTATTTAACTAATTTCCGTTCAGAATACAACTGACCATTGTCAGAACCTGAGCATTGAGGAACTCGTCGCAAATGCTGAAATCCTCATTATCGGTGGTTCCGAGACCACGGCCTCATTATTGAGCGGGGTCACTTACCTCCTCCTCACGAATCGCACTGCCTATCAGAAGTTGAAAGAGGAAGTGCGTACTGTGTTCCAAAGCCAGGAAGAGATCAACCTGATCTCTGTTAACATGTTGCCCTACATGCTTGCATGTCTCGACGAGGCAATGCGCATGTATCCGCCCATTGCAAACGGTCTTCCCCGTGTATGTCCTGAGGCCGGTGCGGAAGTTTTGGGCGAATATATTCCAGCAAACGTGAGTCTCATTGGCGTGAATACTACATATTGATGTCTGCTGACGGTGTTTTGAAGACTTTTGTTTCCATTCATCAATGGGCACTTTACCGGCGCGAAGAGTATTTCAAAGACCCCAACACATACCACCCAGAGAGGTTCCTGGGTGATCCATCATTTGCAGACGATCGTCGAGAGGTATTGCAACCATTCCATACTGGACCGAGAAATTGCCTTGGAAGGAAGTAAGTATTGACCTAGATGACCGCAAGTAACAGGCGATACTAACGGTGTCACTAGTCTTGCATATAGCGAGATGCGTCTAATCCTTGCCTTGATTATCTTCAACTTTGATATGGAGATTGCCGATGAAGCCAGTGATTGGATTAAACAGAGGAACTTCCTGATGTGGGAAAAGGGTCCGCTGAAGGTTCATTTGACTCGGGTATAGACTTATTTATTAGACGCAGGAAGATAGATTGAATGATGAATCCTTATTTGGCAAGTGATACTCAGTCAGGTGATCTTCCGGATACCCCCTCCCTCTACTTCTGCTCTCTCTCTCACTGGCAGCTCGTTACCTTTAACTTACCGGCAGCTTTTTAATAATATAGATATTATACCGAGGGGCCCTTTAGCGCTATCGAATACTATAGGGATTATCTATAGCTCTTAAATATACTTGCGGAGACTATTTAACTTCGATAATTCTTCTAGTTTATAGAGACTTTCGCTTATTACAATAAAATAGATTTTTCGGTAAAAGGTCTTCATAAAATTCTCTAGTAAGCTTTTATATAATACGCGGTATAATAACCTCAGAGTGACTAATTCCTAATAATCCAAATGGTTATATATCTTTAAGATTAATTCTACGGGTAAGGCTATAATAGACATTTTGGCTATATATACAACGTTTCGAGATTAAGAATAATAATAACCAAAAAGCTCGGTTTATTATCCATAGAAATAAGTAGGAATTAGGTGGCATGTACGATCTGGTATAAATTACCACACTGAAAAATGCATACTGCCGGAGAGGGCGGCGAATGGATTGAATCCGTGACCAACTGACCATTTGCAGAGGGCCCGCTCGTCTTTCTGCCTCAACTTGTCGAACTGGTCTTTTCTCTTTTTTATGAAGGTTGAAAGTCCGTCGCGTGCAGAATCACTCTGTGTTCGAGGTATTTAGAACCAGATTCTCTCAGCAGATCTCGTATGTGATTTGCGGATGTAGTCCCGCTCAGCTGGAAACCGGTCCCTGGGCCGCTTTGCCCCGGGCACTTGGTTTTCTCTAAGTGCAGGGTTCACCCACATTTGACATCTTTACAACTTCGCACCTTTAGACCCATTGACATGTCTCCAAGGACTTCACCAGTCCCCTCGTCTGGGATGGCAACACAAAGCCCGTGGTTTCTGCGTTTCCCCCCTGAATTGAGTTCATCCATTGTTTCCTTTCTCCCAAACAGAGATGTCAAGTCCTTGCGCTTGACGTGTAAAGCCCTCAGCGACATTTCACCATTCTCCTCCGCACGTGCGTTTCTTTCGGCCAACTCGTTGAATATCGAAGTTTTTCGGGCGGTAGCAGACCATCCAAAGTTTCGCCACGAAATCAGGGAGATCATCTGGGACGACGCACGGTTTATATCCGCGCCGTTGATATGGGAATCCGTACGCCCAATCATCGAACCCGAACGTATGGAAATCAACTCCAATGAGGAATGTCCCATTTGGTTCACAGAGGATTGCGCAGAGAACCGCTATATAATCAAGCATCGGAAATACCGCGACGTGGACCGACCTGATCATATTGCACGTCAATACCAGCTGGATGCCCAAATGCCGTTGAAAGCCTGCTGGAAGTATTATCAACAACTATTGGATGATCAGAGGTCTGTAATCAGATCCGAAGACGACGAAAAAGCCTTTTTGTACAGCCTAGAGCGATTCCCTCAGCTTAGAAGAGTGACTGTTACTCCTGCAGCACATGGCTGGCTGTTTACTCCGTTATACGAGACACCTATGATCCGAGCATTTCCATACGGATTCAACTATCCGATTCCGCGAGGATGGCACTATGATCCCGTTGATTCTCAGGTCGCCGAGCCGCTACTGTGGTCAGAGGTAACCGATGACTACAAAGAGCTATGGAGAGGGGCTCGAATTGTTCTTCGCCTTTTGTCACAGGTTGAGAAGCATAATGTTTCCGAGCTGAGATTCGACTCCAAGCAACTCCACACTGGACTAAACTTTTTAATTTTCGACCAGCCGTGTGAGGAATGCAATCAATTTGCGGCCATCATGAAACGTCCAGGCTTCCAGCGTCTTCATCTGTCTTTACTTACTGGCAGCAGTGGTTACTGGACAGGATTCCAAAGCGGATTATTCCGTCAAGCTGTGAGCCTGGCCAAAGAATTGACTCATCTCCATTTATCAACTACATTCAACAATGGATCTCATTTTCCAATGAGGGATCCACCTATACCTCTAAAGGAGGTTCTGCCTTTAAAGGAGTGGCCGAACCTGTCTCACTTGGGGCTCTCTAATTTCAGCATCGATACGTCGGAGTTGATTGATATACTCAAATTGGCACCATCCTCATTACGATCTCTTGACTTGGAATTTATCGAGTTCCCCTTTGATGAATTATGCTTGACTGGTCTACTAGAGAGGATGCGAGAGGATCTGGGTTGGACCGAGAGAGATCAATCACTGAAACCGACCGTCACAATCGCGATGGAAGGCCAACGCAGATGGCCGGGGAGGTTCGTGAAGCTTTCTTCACACGAGGTGGCAACCTTTCTCTATGGCTCTGGAGAGAATCCCCTGAATGGAGACAGTACAAGCAGCCCTAAAAGCGGATACGGGATAAATTATGACCTTTTCGAGGCAGAGTATACTCGGCCTAACGTCAATTTCATGGATCTTAAGAAACTGGGAATTATTTGTTAGGTATGCTACCCAGTTGATTCCGAGCCAAAGGTTTGAAGGTTTGGCTCTTCTTACTAGCCACAGCTCTCATCACGAGGAAGATACGCCGACACAGACATACTCATTCGCTTGTAAGCCCGAACAGTCGGTCTTCACGGCCGGGTTCCAGTTGTAGAAAGAAGCCACTGGAATTCCGTTTGCACTGGCAATGTCGACGCACGAATCGTCTGCGATGACCTTGTAAAACTCGTCGCACGTAGCAACCATACCCGTCTGAATAGGGTACGGCGTCGTGACGCCAGTTCCAGTGGCTGCCTTAACACCAACGCAGACATACTCATCAGGCTGGAGTCCCGAGCAGTCTGTCTTGACCGCTGGGTTCCAAGCATAGAAAGAATCCAACGATACACCGTGGGTGTCAGCAATATCATAGCACGAATCACCGGACTGAACGTCGTAAAAGGTATCACACGTGGAAACCATACCTGTCTGGATCGGCGACGGAGACGTGACACCAGATACAGAGGTGGTGGCAGTTACAGCCGAAGTGGAAGTCGACTTCACACCCACGCAAACGTACTCATTCGCCTGTAGTCCAGAGCAATCGGTTTTGACTGCTGGATTCCAGGTGTAGAACGACGCCAATGGGATCCCGTGGTCGTTGGCAATATCATAACATCCATCGTCGGCAATAACCTTGTAGAACTTATCACAGGTCGACACCATGCCAGTCTGGATTGGAGATGGCGTTGAAACCCCACTATTAGTCGGAGTTGAGCTCGTCAGTGGAATACTGCTGACGGGGCTGCTGGAGCTTGATGCCCAGCCTGGGAAGCCGGGCGGGTACCCTCCTTCGTAGGTTGAGACACAGTAGTATGTCCCGATGGACAACCCACTGCAGTCGCTTTTTACGGACGGATTCATTGCGTAGAACTCGGCGAATGAAAGGTGACGACCGGTGATGACGCTGTAGCATGTGTCATACTTGCTTTGCGATGCGTACCAGTTGGTACAGTTGGCAATCTCGCCATTGGCGCGCGGAACGGGTGTTTTGATAGCCGTGCTACTGTCTGTAAGATAAAGGGACTGGGGTCAGTGTGGGTGTATTGACCTCCTGCTAGGAGACTTACTGCTGGAGGTGGGAGTCGCGAGTTGGACACAGTAGGAGCTACTCGGCGCCATGGTACACGGATATTGAGTAAATTCAGCCTGGCCGATGGCGGTTGCTGAGGCAGATACCGCAGAGGAACTCGAAGTTTCATTTGATGCCAAAGAAGGGTTCCAGAGGATGATTTCCTAGATTCTGTTATTAGTCACAGTTGGAGAAGAGACACGGAGTAAACCAACCTCATCAGAAACATTCGATAGCCATGCTTGATTCCAGCAGTCAGCGGCTGTGTTCTCTGTAAAGTTTACACCGGAGAACCATATGTATCTTAAACTAAGGTCAGAGCTCATCCACTAATTCCCTGAGATGCTGTAACTTACTCAGTGCAGTCTGTGCGGGTTCCATTTGCAAGAGGGATAATCGGACTGGACCCGGTTGGCCAGACCATTGGAGGTTGGCTAGGTAGCGAGGTTGAAGGGGTTTCATCAAACGGCACTGTAGAGGTCGACGACTCTCCGTAGCCTGAGTAAGTCGCAATATACCCCACCGGTTGCACGCAGTAGTAGGTGTCAGCCAGAAGATTTGTGCAGTTCTGGAAGAGTTCCGGATTCAGGAAAAGGCTACCACCGTTAGCTTTGATCTTCTCAACCAGAAAAAGATAGGTCGCCCACAGATTGTTTCGAGAAATGCTGAATTTGTCCGTCATAGTCGTGCAAGTCTCGTTTGCGGCAACTTTGTAATATTGACCACAGCGAGAGTTCGTGCCGTCTCCAGTAGGCGAAGGGACGGCACTAAAATTGTTATCATGCGGGCGATACAATTGATCCATTGTGGTCATTTACGCTGTAGTAGTCACAATAGTCGTCATGCCTCCGAGGCCATAGTTTCCCACTGGGTTGCTCACGCAGATGGTAGTGTTCACCAGGCTTCCGAGATTGCTGTGCATCCTTTAATTAGTATAGGTCTGCCATCAAATGGGCGTCACCACATACGAGCAGGTAGAATCGATTTAAGAGTTCCAAGCGAGAAGCTGGGCCCAAGTCACATCTTGCGACTTTCCGATGCCAGTGCAAGTATCACCGGTCCCCACAGTGTAAGTTGTACAGTTTGAGCTTGCGCGGGGGAGGATATCAAACAGGGAGGCCTCCACGGTAGCTAAAAAAGAGAATGTAATAAGCAGAGCCTTCATGATCGCTAGAACAGTCCGATCACGAGAGAGAAAAGGGGAAGAAAAATGAATGACAGACACCCTGTGAAGTGAGAAACTTCCAAGACTAAAGAGATGACTTGAATTGCGGGATGGTCAACTACATAGGCAAACCAAACTCGATAGCTGCACTCTTTGTGCCAGTCTTGATACAGAGTAGTCTTGCGAAAATTAGCACTGTAGTTCCGTTTTGCGTTTGAGACGCCTATGGGGCTCATTTCCTTGTACTGACTAGTATGCCTCGTATTCCGCTGTTCCCGAATACGTCCACATTTTTCACCTTCGAAGCGATGCAATCGCCCTTGCTCAGAGTGACACTAGTGGCTGTGGCTTCGTTTTCTCAAGGGAGATGATAGAGTTTGGCTACTGTCTAGCCCGTCCATCTCTCTCAATCACCTCTTGCACCCGCATAGCGAGACTGTTACTTGGAAACTTCACCCCTATCTCACCGATTTTCTTCGACGCTTCGCGCACGTTCAACGGCGCCGGAATATTCCCCGCCTCTACTCCGTACCACTCCCGAGTCCCAACTTCCTAAGCCGATTAGAGAAGCACACTCGGCCACCTGCTCAATTCCCCCTATACAGAAACTATACGCGAATACTTCAACAACGGGGCCTACCGAATCGAGCAGGGTCTGCCCGTAAGGGGGCTCACCTGGTCTCAGGGTCGAAGTGTTCTAGGGCGATGAAACGATGAAAATAATTAAGGTAATTGATTATCCATATTAAGTCCTGCTTGTACAATGGAAATCCCACACACCTCACCTCTTCCTCTTCCTCTATGGCACATATCAGTCATAGCATCATGCACGCCACATCGAACCAAAAAACAAGTAGAAGCAAAACAAATGGAGCCATGAGCGTAAGCCACAGAGCCCATGTCTTCCAAACGCTCAAAAACAATCAAATTTCATCAAGGCATATATATGGGTATTTTTCCAGCGTAGAGTATCAGTCAATCATGGATCTCATAAAAAAAAAAAAAAACAAGCAGAAAAGGAAATGAAAATGAAGAAGAAGAAGAAGAAGAAGAAGAAACAGTAAAAGTAAAAGTAAAAACATATGTAGTTCCACTACACACTTGCTGTGCGTCGCGGAACTTGACTGGGCTTCTGCGCGTACGCAATGAACATACGGAACCCGGTGCCACGCTTCTGGCACTCGCGAAGCACCTTCCGGTCATTCCAAATACTCGGACCGGCATTTCCAATCGAGGCAATAGGATCCTCGTAGCATTTCGAATACCACCAGCGTCCGACGCGGGCAACGATCTTAGCGATTGATTCATCGTTTGCCGGCGAAGGGGAAGGATCGGAGAGCAAATCGCCGAGAGAGATATTCGCGTCATTTGAGGGGGGTCTCGAGACAGTTTTCGTATTTTGGCCACCACCCGCAGATGTGACGGATATGGTGGGTAGCGAGAATGCAGTGGAAGAGGGAGCCACTGAAATGGAGTGGGCTGATGAGCTGGAGTCGGAGGATCGGAGCACCATGCCTGCGACTGGAATTCGAACCATGCAGCGACGGAGACTGTCGAAGCCTTGCGCGCCGAGCTCGCGTTGTACGCTGTCGCTGGTTGGTTTCAGGCTGAGGGATGAGTCTGAGAGGCAGGTCATCTCTTTGAGTTGACGGATAGCTTTGCGCGTGTGAGGTCCCATATTGACCATGTCGCGGTCTAGGAGGCTCATTTCTAGATACCCTCCTGTGCGGAGAACACGTTTGCATTCTTGAATGATGTTGCCTTGGACTGTCTCGGAGCAGACAGCGGGAAATCGTAGTACCGCGACTGTGAAGTAGTCCTTTGGGAAGGGGAGAGGGTTGTCCAGCCCGGCGTGATACACAATGTGGTGGTTGGTAGGAGGCTCCCATGCAGCGGGGTGGGGAGGGGCTGCGGATACAGGACGTCCACCCAGGCTGTATACCTCGGCATCAGGGTATGTCAAGGAACAGTAAAAGGACCAGTCATCATTTCCCAGTCCATCAATCACAAGAATTCGCCCTTGTCCTCCGGCTTTGACGTGATTATGCGCCGGGCTGAAAAGAACTCGACCGAAGGACAGCCAGCGACTAGTCATGAGCGAAGCAGAACGCATGTTAGTTCGTGTCACTGCATCCCACTCACGCTCGGAAGATGCGGCTTCTTGTTCTCGGTGGAACTTTGGTCTGGGGGAAGGAACGGCAGCGAGGGAGTTAAGAAATGTAGACTGCTTCTCGGTAGGAGCGGCAGCCTGTTGCGTCTTCTCCTCATTTGAGCCTCTATGTCCAGCAACAAGATCACTGTAAGACGGTTGAGACGAAGGAGCGGTCGAAGATTGCAAAGCAGAGACAATCTGAGAACGACGAAGATGAACAGAGCTGCCACTCGAGCGGACTGAATTGCCACTAGGTACTGATTGGGGATTATTGGCATTACTCAATTCGTCCTGAAGAGCCCTGCTTGCCATCGTTGCAAGCTCAAACCTGTCCTCTTCTTCGGTCTTTTCCGACTCCTCAGGCTTTGGTTGATCTGGCGACAGAACGTGGTCAATAAGATCATCATACTCGTTCCACACCTCGTCATCGGTCGGCGGAGAACCTGCAATCGGGGGCACGGCTGTAACTGCAGCCAGAGCTCCAGAGCTATCTGACGAGGTTGAGCCTTTCTTCGGCGGAAATTGAAGAAACTCATAGGTTGTGAATGGCCCAGCAAGGAATTCCAAAGCGCTAGTCTCCTCGGAAGCGCTAAAAGTCGGGTTGAACCCATGGCCCCAGTCTGAAGATTCGCTTGGACCAATCCCCAAATTCAATGGAACATTGGCGACAAGTGGAGATTGGTATGAGCTTTCTGTCGTTGGAACCGTGAGGGAAGCCGATTCGGCAACACTGAACGGACGCGAGAATGACTGCATGGCGGGTTGGTGATTTCTATCGCGCCGCGATACTACCTGTGGGATCCGACCGACAGAAGCCAAGCGCGGACGTTGTTCAGGTAGTGTTTCAGGCTCCGGGGCCATAAGGTTGCGATTGAACATGGCAGTTCTCGGTGATGGGCGATCATCATTTTGAAACTCACCGTGCATCTTTGGTGGAGATGGCAATAAAATTGACGGCTTTCTTTTTCTGATGCTCAAGCCTCTTGGAACTTCCACGGGCTGGAAACCTTTTTCTTCCTCTGTTGGTGGTGAGTCTTCGATGTTGTTGATGATTTCCTCGAGCTCGTCCGAATCAGCATCCACCAAGGCGTAATGGGCCACGGGCCGACGGTTGAGAACAGGGGAGATTGCTGCATGAAGTTTCGCGGTTTGGGATGAGGTCGCTGGAGGAATTGAGTCCTTCTGTTCGTTGGCACGGTTCTTCTGGAAGAAGTTCCACACGGATGTCTTTCCTTTCTTGGGGTGTTGCTTCTCAACCTGCTCGGGCTTGGGGATTTGTTCAGCGGGCGTTTGTGTACGCTTCGGTTGCTGTGAGGTGGCACTGCTTGGCTCGTGGCTAGGGAGCGACGTATTTGTGATAGCCGCCTGGGGGTTCTCAAACATGCCATGTCTCTTTCCTCTTGGAACGGGCATGCGTGACTTTGATGCGTTTGAACGATCACTCACGTTAGATTGGGATTCGGAGCCCCTGCTTCCCATTGATCTGGCGCCATTAGAATAACTCGGCATAATGGTCTCACCAAATGTCCCCGTAGTCGCGAGGGATTCGGTAGACTGGCCAGTCGAGTATGATAGCAGAGTTTGCCGCGGCAGGTTCGAAGTGGACGCAACGCTTATGCTGCTGAAACTCTGCTCGCTTTGTGTTCGTGACAAAGATGCGCCGTCTAGTCCACCACCGTTGATAATGACAGGCTCCAGGCGGCTCATTAGAAAGTCGTCGATTTCCAACTCCGGGCGACTCGATTGACTCCATTTGCTGGCGGCACTCCGTGTCGTGCTTGTTGATCTGGTTCTCGTCCCACTGCTGCTACTGCCGCTTGCTTTGCGGCCGCGCTGTCCATATTTTCCATAGCCCTCATGGCCTGTCCCCGCGGCTGGACCTTTGCGAGTAGCTCGACCTTGCTCCGCCAAATTCTCTGGCATATCCGGCTTAGACTTCTTTGTGAACAGACCGAACCGTTTTTGCGTTGGAATTTGCTTGGAGTCCGGCTTTTCTTTGGGGGTCTCCTTGGTCAGTGTTCGAGGTGTCTTTTTCGAGAGTACGGGAGATCCGCCTTCCCGAGAAGGGGCTTCAGAGATGCTTCTTGATTGCAGCGAGTCAATCGATGCAGCGGCAAACTGGTTGGGAGCCGGGTGTGGCTGTTGGGTCGCCAGAATCTTTTCGATCGACTCGCGTCTTGTGTGGCCCGTTGTTCTGAGATACCGTAGGTTGCTTTGAACAATCGGTGATGTTTCAAGCTCTAAGCGATGCGTTCCATCTCTGCTCGGTCGTGGTGGAGTTTGTGGTGTCTCCGCATTCCGTGAGGGGGAATATTCCATAATCCCTTGTGGGTCAAACAAACGCCTCTCGGCTTCCTCCACTTCCTTCCGAGCCTGTTCAACGTCGATATCCGGAGCTTTTGGAGGGCTGAAATTGACGGATGACTTTCTTGGCGGCGGACTGCGGGGCGGGCCTCGGGGAACTGTAGAGGGAGATTTAGACGATGGCACTCTCTGGCCATTGCCAGTCCCAATTGAGCTTGCACCAGAGGGCTTTGTAGGAAGTACCCGTTTTTGAGTCTTGAGCTCCGGCCTTTCTTGCTGGGTGGTTTCACGTGCCGGTGAAGGAGAGAAGACAGGCAATCTTGTTTGCGACGTGCTCGGTTGTCTCAGACGACCAATCTTTGTAATACCGGGGGAATATGATGATAATGATGTTGGGGTAGACCCCCGACTCCAAATACTGGGAGATTCCGAGTATCTTGTCGAGGGGCTACTTGACAGTAAGAAGGGGGTAGGAGGTGCGGGCAAGTTTTGCGTATCGAGTGTCGTTCGAAGGCTTGCCAACTCTTCCGGACCATTGAACCTAGACCCCACCGAGTTAATCGCCAGATTACTCTCATTCTTGTGGTTCGGTTTGTAAGAGGAAGTTGATTGCCCTAAAAGTGAGGTTGACGAATTTCCGTGTCCTGACACATTGTTCATAACGAGAGAATGAGGCTCTTGCGGAATGACAAGGCTAAGCTTCTCCGAGTGCAATTGCTCCACATGTTTCCCTATTGTCGGTGCCCTCCTTCGTAGAACATTCCGTGCTCGTTTTGGCGGGGGCAATTGTTGGCCAGCAACGAAAAGCGATGTTCTGTTAATCTCCGGGCTCGAAAGCGTCGAGTGAATCGGCTGGGTGGGATTCTGAGGAGAGGAAGCAGACACTGGCGTATTTGGGGATGTTGTGCTACCAATACTGGGGCGTGGAAGCATGGACAGGCGATTTCCGCGACTGGTAGATCGCTTGATAGCTGACGGCGCTGGTACTGGGCCAATACCTTCAGCATCCGAGAATGACGAGCTTCTGCTCATAGGGGTGTGATTGGCTGGTCTCGCAATTTGAGATCTTGGAGGTCGGCCATAGGCACCAGCATTGGAACGCGATAAGTTTGAAGAAGAAGCATTGTATGGCATGTGATGGGCAGAACTGTACGACATGGCGTACAGATGAGTAAAGTTCCCGGCTCCAATCCAAGGACAAATGATTAAACGGTGGGTACATGTACTTCGTTATAGTAACCATCACGCCGTTATAGGGGTATATTGCTGTCTGATTTAATCAGCTCTCTTCAATTTCGTCAAATTCAGCGTATAAGCTCACGGCATCTGAGTCACGTCAAACGAAAATATCAATATTGATGGGCGCCTGGCGCTCGACAGTGGGGGTATAGAATTAAATAAAAAATAGAAGAAATTCGTAAAAAAAAAGGAAAAGGGTATCTCAAAGTCGCACAACTAAAAATCAAGTGTCAATATGTCAAGAATCATAAAAAGAAAACCACATGGACTCACAGACGTCAGTAGATAAACGAGAAAAGTCCACTGTGGATCGAAGCCTTAAAGTTGCAGCTGCTTCGCCACAGTCTGCAGCAATGTGGCGTTCGATTTCAGGGTTGTTCACCAGCGCTGGCCACGTCAGAGATAAAATCCGACTGAAGTATGTAAAAATAAATGTCAAAAGATTCAAGACAGGAATTTCCGAGATGCCGGAGATTTATGTGACTGGGGTTGCCGCTCCAATGTGGGGGAAAAAGCCTTGAAACCGGAATGCCCATGTACATAGTAAGAACGTAGGGATCTCATTGGTACGAAAGTAATGTGACTACTGTGATAAGACGGGAAGAAGTCAAGACTGCGAAGACCTGGAGCCTGTCAGAAGGACTAGCACGTTGCGAAAGGTGGTGCTTCTGAAGCGACGACGGTCCCCATCGCAAAGTCAAAAGGGAGTTCTACAAATAACCGGGGGGATCCCCCAGTGGCCGGATCAAGAAGATTGCGCGCACGGAAGCCCACATGAGGTGAAGACCGGTCCACTCGAGGGTTCTCCCCTAGCAGGGACTTGTCGTTGGCTGCTTTGCTTAGACGGTATGGGCTCGCGGCGGCAAACAGGGTACCGGGCCAGACACAACGTGACAGGGCAGTGGTACAATCCGTGGCGTATGGGCTTTTCGTCATGCATGGCTTGAGCGTTAAGAAAAAAAAACCCCTACAAATCGTGACTCGTTCGCGATGTCAGATCAGCTGATAGACTCAAGCTGAGTATCTGCACAGTCGGAACTGTACATGGATTGACCAGGCTTTATCGCGTCTCCCTCGCCTCCTCCACAGCACATTCGGAGACGCCGAACAAGTCAATCCTAAATAATGAAATGATCGACGCGGTGATTTTGATTTTCGTTCTTTTTAATTTTGGCGGTTTGCAACTCCAGCCTTTCCCGCTATTCGGAGAATTTCCCAACGTGGTTTCAAGGGACCATGCATATGCGGATAGACGTAAGGGTGACCCTAAAATGCTTCATATTTTCCGAAACAGTCTTATATATTCCCGATCCGATATGTCTGATATCGTATATTACTCTGAGACATACCTTTCCAACGGCCGTAGATATCAATAGTTTGGTACAGAGGCCCGTCCCGAACCTTTCGGGGACCATTCCAAGGTTCAAGGATGAAAGCAAGCGAAGGGACTTAAAGTTGGGTCTAGCGTCTAGACTTGTACAACTCGAAGAGCCAGTGACTGTCCGTAAAGAGACAATTTCGTCTATAGACCGGGTTCGATACTCGAGCCGTGGAGCCTCGAGACTGTGGAGCCCGCTAGTCACTGGGCTGTGATGGCCCACTGTATCATGGAGCAATGAACAAGCCCTGGACGAAAATCAAATGTTAGCTCCAAGCCACCGTCTAAAAAAAAAGCCAGCTGTCGGTTGTCATTCGCGGGGAGGACACTGCTCTAAGTGGGGAGGGCGTTAACTTGGGCAATAAGAACAGCGAATGATCACGAACGAGAAATGAGTCAGGAATGGCATTGACCAGTGTGTGTTGTATATTGCAAATGTGATATTGTATGATGTACCGAATACTCCATACTTGATGCATTTGATGTCCCGCAATCACGGTCTGGTCCATCCTCGTCTAATGACTGGCCATAGCCATGCTGCAGGAACAAGCGCCTAATGCACCCTTCAGCTGACTTCGCACGCAGTCACCGGGAATTTGTACGAAGTACGGAGTAGTCTCCGGGGAATTATTCCTGGCGGCAAGAAAAGTTAAGATTGAGTTTTCTCCGAGGTCAGTGCTTGGATATGGGAATGGAGAGGTTGAGAATTCTCCATACAAGTGAATCGCCTACATACGGACATGGCTACTTTCGCTCTACAAACCAGAAAACCCACACTTGTACATTTTCATTTTGAGATCCACATATATTAAAACAAATAGAATGGAATGATTGACCCTGAAATTGCCCGGTAGCTTATCAACACACAAACGCCGATGATGAAAGAAGAGATGGGACCGAAGCCCAAGTCAAAGACCAGACAAAGCAAATATTGGAAACACTCAAGCGGCAGCTGCAAATCGCTTCTTGCGAGCCTCCATGGCCGCATTATCCTTCTCACTCCATGACTTCTGCGCAGTGTTCGCACCGGCATTAGGCTTCTTTACGCCCGCATTGGTCCTGTTACCACCATCAGCGCGGTCACCGCGGTCAGCACGGTCGCCACGGTCGCGGTTGCGGTTTCCATCCCCACGTTGACGATTTCGGTTGCGTCCAGTATCACGTCTCTTTCCTCCACGGCCACCCTGCTCGTTGCGGTTGTCGCTGCGGTTTTCGTTACGTCTCTTGCGGGAGCGCTCATCAGGAAGTGCCTGGTCGAGACGGCTTAAACCCGCAGCTGGAGTAGTATCAGCCTCGGCACCCGTACCGAACCGCTTAGCGCGTTCCAGCTGCTTCGTAGCCTCCTTCAATGCTGTGTCGTCATCCTCAACAATGCCAAACTTCTGCGCGCGAGCCTTGCGCTTCTCCAGCTCTGCCTCCAAATCGGTCTGGGGCAGTCCTCGTGTGTAATCGACGGCAGGCTTCTGTTCGACCGCGGCTTCGGGCTGAGTGGCTGGTTCAGCAACGGCGCCGGTCGCCTCGACCTTCAAGTCGTCGGTGGTAGCGGGATTTTCGTCGAGCTGCTGGTTGGGGACAGCAACGGGGTTGGAAACTGCGCCCTGGCCACCAGCGGCAATCGCAGCTGCGCCGGTTTCTGTGGATGGCTCGATAACCGTCTCTGCAGGTTCGTCGTCCCAGTCAATGACGTCCTCGGGCGCGTCAGTCTTGGCTGCGGCAGGAGCTGCGGCAGGAGCGTCGGATGGCTTGCTCTCGTCATCTTCCTGGAGGCGCGAGACCATGTCGGCCTTCTTTCCAGTGTGTGGGAGAGAGCGAGTCTTAAGGATCTCGACCAACTCGGCGTTGGTCTTCTTGCTGTAGTCCGTGGCCATTTTGCGATCGGAAATAGGTAGGCTGCAATTGGTGAGAGGGAGAGGGTAGAAGCAGAAGTGATTGTGATAATGATCGAATCTTGGATATTCACTGCAAACCAAATCTTATAGGGGATAAACAAAGGAATGAAAGTTGAAGTGCTGAAAAAAGACGCTCAGAGACGCGATCTCACCCAGTGGAGGTCCCCAGGTGCAAGTACAACAATTACATAATCGAATTAGAATGATCCCATTGGCCACGTGGGCACCACGCAACAAAGCCAGATCCAGACGCCGACTTGTTTAATTCTCGAGATTATTCTTATATTCAACAACCTATATTCTTCAAAAGAGTACGATATCCGGACTACCGAGGCAGCTAGATGGTGCGGCATCCTTAGAAATCTAGACGATGTTTACGTCCACAGGTTGTACACGATATATATATCTAGCGATAGCATAATATCGAGGGATCGGCGCTGAATACCTATGTGGAAGTACTGAAAGCTCTAGGTGAACATATAATTGAGACTCGGAGCTAAGGACCAATGCAATATGATGCCTCTTCAATGTACGCTCGAGCTTTGCAAAATCTATTTTCATTGCCAGCTAGGGTGCTTCATGCAGCGATCAATACGCCACACTGCAAGGCTGTTGGAGTCAAGCTGGGGATTCAGGCGAAGGCAAAGAGCTCGTCGAGAATTTAACAGGCGCTTTAATCCCCGAATCAGAGGCTGACAGATGTACAACGTACGATGAACCACGACAGCTTGTTGGGATTAGGGATCTGCATGCACTGCGCCACAAGAGAAGCAGGCTACTCCGTACATCACACGCCACATTGTTTCCTCAGACGTCGCATGAGCTATGGGCTCCTACCATACCGTTCTAGGGTTGTTATCAAGATACGGAGTACAAATTAGACGAAAAGCACACGATAGTTCAATTCGTTCAATCGATCAAAGGAAGGATGAAACAGAAACCCAACCCTGCCAAGGATACTCCCGTGACCAGTAAAAGTTGTGTCGGTTGTTGCAAGCTCTTCCGCCCTCAAGTATGTCTCAAATTTCAACATCCTTCCGCTCCAGTCGCTCTAGGAATCGGTCTTTTATCCTGTCGAGTCGACTCAAGATATACTGCCTGTTCTGCCACCCCAACGAGAGTCGTAGAAGCTTGTCACCACTAAGATAGACACGTTGCCAGTCCATAGCATCCACTGCTGGGAATTCATCACTGCGTAGACAGTTGTCATCAATGAATCGACGTCTCCAGTAGCTGTTCGGGATCATTGGATGCCAATTCGGAAACACTAAAAGCAGGGCGTGGATGTCCTCGTGATTGTCCAAATGATCTGCGATATTCAAGATGAGTTCTGTCGGAAGAAACACATCCCTGGTCTTGAACCTAGCTTGGGATCGTCGGGACATTGGATGTGTGGGTATGGAGGGTTGTGATCTTGGCTCAAATCCCATCTTCCTCTGCATGGTGTACTTGGTTGTGTATTTGGTGATCACGTCGTTTAAGCAGGGGTCATTCAAAGGATCTGCGCCGCGAAATTCAGGAGGCATATGACTTGGACGCGCATCATCCTTGGCACGAAATTTCTGAGGATTTAGGTACAAGCCTGATGCTAAACTGTCCAATAACTTGAACCATTCTAGCCACAGAGGGTATGTACCTGTTGGATCAAGCAATGGCCTTATGACATCGTATGGATCACACATTGCGTGGAGGAAGATATCCATATTCTTCTTGATTAAGTCGATGTCGAGCATTCGAGTCATGAGCTTCCAGCATCGTTCGTGCATAGGAAATGCTACTGAATATGCCAGCTCCGAGACGAAGTTTGGATTTGGAAAGGCGTGCTGACTATCGCTTTGGTGATTGCACAAAATCATGTCGTTCTCATTATGTGGGAGGCTTATTTGATGCGTCGGCTGAAGCTCGCCAACACCAGAGAGATGGAATGAGGATACATCGTCGTACATCGTAAAGAACACTGAAACAACGCTCAAAGTTAGAACAAATCGTTCAACCCAGGATGTTAGAGAAACACTTACAAGCTCGGAGCATGCAAGACCATGTCCACATCTCATCGAAGTGTACGTCGTCCATATCTGTTGATCTTCCGTGGATCCACGGACCATCCGAGAAACCCTCAGCGTCTTTCGGTGAATTGCGATATATGAGCTCAGCAATATCAGTGGTCGAAAAGCTGTAAATATTCTCATTGCATAGATTGCAGGCAATATGTTGATGTAGATTAATTGGCCCTGGAGGGATGGTTGACACTGGAGGGAGGGCTAGATGTCTTCTTCTCCGTCCTCCCCATCCCCCTCCCCCTCCTCCCCGTCCTCGATGTCCTCGCAGTCTTCGACGGGATCTTTGACGGGACATGCTGCTTGTATCTGGATACTCTTTATCCAGAGAGTAAGGCTGATACTTGATAATCACAAAGGTTCCTTCACGGTGTAGAAAGGGGATGAGGAAAACAGAGATGAGATAAGAATGAGGGTATAGATTACAGAGATAGAGAGAGATGGAGAGAGGTAGGGAGAGGCCGGCAGATAGAAGGATGTCACCTGCAAATTCCTGAGGCAGTTACCTTAGCTTGAGCCTCTTGACAGCTTTGATGGAAATTGACAGATTATAACAAACAAGTATGCAGTTCTTCTCCTTTCAAGATTTCTATTATTGCGATGCTACGACAACTTACAGTAGGGCCCAGGACATGGAGGATCCCGCCAAAGACATACATATGGGTTTTGGAAACTCATTACAAAGTACTGCTAGATAAGTAAGGATCTGGATACCTCGTAGCATGGTTCGAGACTTCGTATTGGAAAGATAAAACTAATCTAACATTGATTGTCGTGGAATGTCTCTTGAATCCTCATCATGGCTCTAACCAACTTCTTCCTGCTGTTCATCCTTCTTGAAGAAAGGCCCTCGCTTGAAATAAAGCCTTCCAATCTGCCTGTATTCGTCCTCTCCCTTGTCAAGTTTCATTCTGAACTCCATTCCGTCTGCCAGGAACTCACTGAAGCAGTTCAAGTAGGCGTCCGTCCACTCCATCCAGTTCCCTAATCCTTGCATCATCGCGAGATCGCTCGTTTGCTGCTCCGCTTCCTTGTCTGGCTGGGTCACCCATTCAAACAACTTCAGGTTCGGGATCGTCATGGCCCAGAAAGGAACGTCGGGTGGGTTGAGTTCTCCGCCAAAAGATGGGCCGGGGGCGACGGCGAGGATGAATTGGATTCGCTGGATATTCTCATGGCTGAATACTCTCTTGATTGTATCTTCGCATTTTCCGTGCAGGTAGACTTCGAACAAGTTGTCGCCATAAAGTATGTCCAAGCATTCAGCGCTCATTTGTTTGGAAACATGTAAAATGCTAGTCCAGTGAGGACTGGTGTTGAGGAACTTGTCGTCTTCGATGGACGTGTCGCGCGTAGAAACCACAGGTTCGACACCGTAGGGCCGATACATTGCGCTTGTCACTCTGATGGCGCATTTCCGGGGCACGCAGAAGCCAAAAATTTTCAAACGTAGCTCGAGGGGTAGCGTGAAGAGTAGAGACGTCGTGGAAGCGGGAGTTGGTTGTTCAGACTGGTGGTCTGGTGGGGTCTCCATTGTTGAACTTGCAAGGCAAGCTTCAATCGCTTCTTATGTCTTGGAAAAGTGCTGACTAGAGAGTTTAGCATCCTGAATCGTTGGTCCAGCATGTTCCAGCGTGTACTTCATCAACCAGATCAGATCGCGATCGATCTCAAAACAGATGACGGGTTTGAGGGGGATATCAAACGATATGGTAAATATAGCAGCAAATGGATAGGTTTCATAAAAGATAGGAATGATGATAGGGGTCTAATTGGCAGCTCGGCCAAGTGGACGAATAGCTTGGATGTGATGGATGGTAAAGCAAAGCTGAGTTGTAGGAAGATGAGCCTGATAAATAGTAATTCGTCTAAAAAGCAAACGAAACATCTCCTACGGCAACTGCCTTGGGGAATCGTCCTGCGGCGATTCAAGGCTCCAACGTCCAGATGCTCTCACCGTTCTTGATGTTTTGTTCTAACGATGAGCCTCTCGGAAAGTACCCGGTCATTCACAGCCCAATAGAATACATATGAAATGGCTGACTTGGAGTAGAATCTGTCTTTTCTTTGAAATACCTAAATAACTGCCCGTGCTGCTCCAAAAAATCAACATTACCATAGTCTGTGGCCCTAGCCGAACATAACTAGGCGTCCATCCTCGAAAGACTCATCCCATTCCCTCCGTGATTGTAAGACTCTTAATCACATGCGATATCCCCTGCTTTCTTGAAGACCCTATTAACTGGTCTTGATTACAGCAATCGGACTGCACGGTGTTGTAGCAACCAGCGTCACCAATAACGACGCCGATAAACGCGAGCCGGTTGATCGTTATAAATCCCAGTGGTTGTCACTGTTGCATCCCTAAAAGGATCATACGATGCAAGCTGACAGCTGGTCATCATACCACAGCGAAAGTATTCGGCCGCAATCCCTGTCCAAAGGCATTTCATCCCTCTTCGCGTTTCATCCACGCATCGAAGATGTGCCGGTAAGTGCGACGAAGATGAGGTGGCAGCATACGGATATTGCTTATATCTGAGGAGTTGCCGAGGACTGCCCCAATAAGCCTCGAGATTCCTGTTGATAGGCCAGGAGCTGGTGGGGAGGTGGGAATGTTGTTCTTGTTTCTTCTTTTTAGTTTGTTGTAGGCCGGACTGAGCCATATCGACTGAGCCATATCGGTATTGGATGCAGAACCTCCGAACCACCTGGGATAAATGATTGACTGAGAGATATCTGATTTACTCATTCTAATATTTCAAAAAGATTTCACTTTGTTTTCAAGATAATAAAGAATCTTTGAGTCTTTTATCTCATATAGCCAATTTGGAGATCGTCACAAAGCCGGCCCTAATGCGGGGGTTACTGAATAGATGAAGTAGGCTGTCATAGTCGCAAATTCTGGGTCTATGAATACTATTTGTACCTCAAATGTCTTTATGTATGGCATGGATTAAGGAGTTATCAGTATTCTTATTAAGCTAGCAAATGAAAAGTCTAGGTGCTTGTGGAAGAAACCGCTGTTTCTCAGTATCAATCAGCTGGGCTTCACTTTTGTGGTCATTTCTAGCGGTAGACGTTCTAATAATTAGAGGAAGTGGTAACTGGTTGGTAGAAGCCTGTCGGTTATTATTGCCTAGGAAACCAAAAGAAGGTGGGAGTTAATACAATATACGGAGTACCTAGAACCTCGTGACAGAAATGAGATTCTAAACAAACATGTCATCTTCTCCAAGCGCCCGGACAAGCCGAACAGTTGATGAAAAGGAGTTCGCGTCGACCGGGGGTAGTGTAAGCCCAGTGACACTGTGCAACGAGGCGTGTGCAAGCACAGAGGCCAAGTCGCGAGGTCCAAATATTAGAATAATCATGACGTTCTGCAATGCAGAACTACCAGAGATTAAACTGGTAAGAACAGATACTACACATGATCTAAGCCAGAGGCAAAGAGAGCTGAAGAAGAAAGAAAAGAAGAAGAAGTTCTGGGGCAGGGTCACCTTCTTATAGATACCCTAAGGGCGGTCGGTTTATGCCACTATTCACAAATGAGACAAACAACGACATAGGCTCGCTTAATGTAAATGGTAACGTGATGATAAACACATATGCAGATATGCCTAGATAGACTATGTAACATATAGATGTATGCAGGTAGGTGCCTTGTATTGTAGGAACCAGGCTTAGACTTATACTGGTTGGATTCATGGATGATATAAAAGAAACAGCTCACGGAAGAAGAATCAGACGTTCACTATACACAGGGCTTGTTTGAAGCAGTAGAGGTAAAAAAAACAGGCACACAAAGGAGAAGGACAAGACATAATAGCACAACGCCATGGGAAGAAAACATAGAGCATTTAGTACACCCAAGCCAGCGTCGGAAGTTCCGGGGATTACAGATCACATCGAGGAAAATAGGTGGTTCCTCTTCTCTGATTTTTCCCCTGGCACAGGCGAATCTAACCATCTAAGAGGATGCCATGGAAAGGTTTTCTTTGGGTTTGGTTTTTCTTTTTATTATTGCGTTGCCAATACCGTTTACCGGTCAACCTCACCGAACACAAGATCCATAGTACCTAGAAGGAATTCAATGTTAGAGCTGGAATAAAAAACAACGGAATAAAAGACTTACCGATAATTGCGACAGCATCGGCAAGCAAGTGACCACGAGACACCTGATCGAAACCACCCAAGTGGGCGAAACCAGGAGCACGGATCTTGCAGCGGTATGGCCGCTCACTGCCATCACTGACCAGGAAGACAGCCATCTCACCCTTGGGGGCCTCAATGGCTGAGTAAGTCTCACCAGGAGGCACACAGTAGCCCTTGGTGAAGAGAAGGAAGTGGTGAATGAGAGCCTCCATGTTCTCCTTCATGGCAGCACGGGGAGGGGGTGAGATCTTATAGTCCTCCACGCGGACCGGACCGGCGGGCATCTTGTTCAGGCACTGATGGATGATACGGAGAGACTGGCGGAACTCCTCCATACGGCAGAGGTAACGGTCGTAGCAGTCACCGTTGACACCGACGGGAACATCAAACTCGACCTGGTCATAGGCATCGTACGGCTGCGACTTGCGGATATCATAAGGAACACCTGATCCACGGAGCATGACACCGGTGAAACTCATGTTGAGCGCATCGGCAGCGTTAACAACACCGACACCCTGGGTTCTGGCCTTCCAGATACGGTTATCCGTAAGCAGCTCCTCGGTTTCGTCAATGCGGTCACCGAACTGAGTGGCCCACTGGTAGATGTCGTCCAAAAGACCAAGGGGGAGATCCTGCGACACACCACCGGGGCGAACGTAGGCAGCGTGGAGACGGGCACCGGAGACACGCTCGTAGAATTCCTAAAGCACCCGAGGTGTCAGTAAATAAGACCTGGCCGCAGAGGCTTTGCAGCTGAAAACTACTCACCATAAGCTTCTCACGCTCCTCGAAACCCCACAGGAAAGGAGTCAGGGCACCAACGTCCATTGCGTGGGACAGGACGGACATAAGGTGGTTCAGGACTCGGGTCATCTCGCCGAACAAGGTACGGATCCACTTGGCACGCTCGGGGATCTCGACGTTCAACAGCTTCTCAACGGCCAAGGAGAAGCACTGCTCATTCGTCATCATGGAGACATAGTCCAATCGGTCAAAGTAAGGCAGAGCCTGCATATAGGTTTTGTACTCAATCAACTTCTCGGTACCACGGTGCAGCAAACCGACGTGGGGATCGGAGCGAATGATCTCTTCGCCATTGAGTTCCAGAATCAATCGGAGCACACCGTGAGCAGCGGGATGCTGAGGACCAAAGTTGACGGTATAATGACGGATCTTGCGGTCGATCCCTTCGGCCTTGGATTCAAGGCCAGCAGCATCGGGGTGCTCGGGAGAACCCTTGTTGGCGACGGAGGTGAAGGTCGGGTCGGTCGGCACAAGTCGTGTGGCCTGGTAGCTAGCAGCCTCTGCGTGGCGGCGAGGAACAGAGGTGGCTATCGAGCGGGAACGAGGAATGGATGAGGAGGGGCGGAGGCAGAGCCTTTTGGGCGCATTGCCCGCTAGGCGGGCGAGAGAAGCGGCCATGGAGGATAGAAGTGGAGGTCCAAGAGGGAAAAGAGGGGAGATGATCCTCAATCCAGGCGCATTCAATGGGTGGATATGGCTCGCTACGGGGTAGGGAACTCACTGAAGGTCTCAACCTGGGAGTCGCATTTTGGCTCGTCACGTGAAAAGCCGCCGGGTCATCAGCCGTGCGCTGGTTGGCCTGAAGGGGCCACTATGTTGTGTGGGTAAGGGCTCCACACTAGCCTTTCTTTGGTTTAGTGCCATGCATTGCTCACATAATCCTGCAATTATGGATTACATAATATATCATTATTTGCGCATAATAAAGGCCTCGTTTCTGCCTCAGGCGAACTAGAAAATTACTTCGAGAAATCTCTCTTATCGGTGATCGCGGATTTTACCATCAACCTTCACCAGACCCTCTACAGTTGCTCACCATGGCGCCTCTTGTTCCCTCGCAGGAGGAGCTGCAGCGCCGCCGTGTATGTCTCCAACAATGATTCCACGCAGCTCAGAATACTAATCGTCCCAGATCATCGGCATCAATGCGGAAACCGTCACCAACATCCCCTCTACAGATTTTCCTGGCCATTGGCCCGGAGAGTCGCATGGGTGGGCACTCGATGAATTCAAGGAGGTATGTATTGGAACATAGTTAGGAAGGTATACTCTACTGGATTTAGTAAATCCTGACCATTTACTCCAACAGAATTTCCAAGTCGAATTCCATCGCAATGACCGGTTCGAGGCTTCCTTCTCGCTGATCGGTCTCGACGCCTCAGTCGCCAACGCTTTCCGTCGTATTCTTATGGCCGAAATCCCCACCATCGCCATTGAAGACTGCTTCATTCACAACAACACTTCAGTCATTCAAGACGAAGTGCTCGCACAACGACTGGGCCTGATCCCGCTCAAGGGTTCTGTCGAGGGTATCAACTGGATGCACTGGTATAAGAAGGCGTCCGAAGACGGTACCGAGGAGGAAGACGGCCCCTGCGACTTCAACACCATTGTGCTCCGTCTCGACGTGGAATGCTACAAGAACGAGTACGCAGACAAGGACGAGCAGGACCCCCGCAAGCTGTACACCAACGCCCATGTTTACGCCAAGGACCTCATGTACATGCCTGTCGGTCGTCAGGAACAGTTTTTTGTCGGCGACGGCGCTATCGCACCTGTCAACCCGGACATTCTGATCGCCAAGCTCCGTCCCGGCCAGAAGATCGAGATGGAACTCCACTGCCAGAAGGGTATTGGTGCCGATCACGCCAAGTTCTCGCCTGTGGCTACCGCTTCATACCGCCTCTTGCCTGAAATTAAGATCGAGCGTCCAATCATTGGCGAGGATGCGAAGAAGTTCGCCAAGTGCTTCCCTAAGGGTGTGGTTGGTCTTGAACCCGTCACCCCTGAAGAGGCTGCGCAGCGTGGAAGTGGATACGAGGGCCATGCCGGCGAGCAGAAGGCCGTCGTGAAGGATGCGTTTAATGATACTGTCAGCAGAGAGTGTCTGCGCCACGATGAGTTCAAGGATAAGGTCAAGCTGGGACGGGTGCGTGATCACTTCATCTTCAGCGTGGAGAGCACCGGTCAATTTGAGAGTGACATGCTCTTCCTGGAGGCTGTAAAGGTTATGAAGCTGAAGTGCAACCGGTGGAAGAGGGGTCTGACCGATTTGATGGCTTGATCAATGGGTCTTTTCTCTGCTACACCTTATTATATGCATTCTTTGGCGTTGGATTTTTGGGCTGCCTTTGCGCTGTACATTTACGAAAAGTCGATCAGTGTTTCGCCTCACGAGGTGGAGTCTAGATGTGTTAATTGTCTTGGATAAAAGCCCAACAGCTATCTTTTGAATTCTACACATTTAACTAAGGCTAATCATCCCGGTCATAAGCTATCTGATTGTCGTAATTCTCACATGAGAGGCAGGATAAGATTGTCCTTATTTAAAGTGAAGACGAAAGCGGAATGTGGTAGTGTAGGCTGGATCGCTGACAGCGACTTCTTCGCCATCCTCGATCAAATCGGCCAGCTTTTTTCCCAAGTGAGGTCGGGTCATTTCCTCCAGCTGAGGTGGGAAGCGCTGATAGAGGGTCTTCTCTTCAGTCCGCATACTTGGCT